ATATCTCCTCCATTCTAATTCCATTTTCCGTGAAACCACCACTAAAATTCTTCTAAAATCCAGCTTTATTTATTTTACCTAGTACCACCATATAGTTCTATGTTTGCCTTTGTGTTTGCTTTTGTGTTTGGCTATAGTCTTATTTATTAGCAACGACCAACAGAGGACGGTGAGTACCAGGAAGGCGAGGACCCAGACTACGTCGAACCAGAAGGAGATTACAACGAAGGCAAGTCCTAACTCCCCCTTCCCCACTAATATACTTGTTACCTCCACCATAAAACCCGCCGCCATCCATTTCCGCTAATCAAACAATAAACTCAATTTATAGTTTCTTTACTTGAATGAATTGTGATATACATACATAGTGGTAAAGAGCCATTATTACTAGTCTAGTCACCTTCATCACATTGTGAGCATAATAATTAGCATGACCGCCATGTTGCATGTTCAGATCAAGTCCTCTCTCTTTGGCCTTAAGGCCACGGACTTGTACTACTTTGTACAATTTCTCCTTCTATCTTAATTGAAATGCAGAACTCCTGCCATTTATGTTAAAAAATGTTCAGATCAAGTCCCGTCGAAAATTTCATGTGTAGAGAAAATTGGAAAAATGTATGTATGTATGTTAGCACTTCTTGGAAATATTATTAGTAGACGTTAATTGGGACGGCTACAGTCGCTGCAGCTTAGGCCCGACACGTACGGCAGACCACAAAGTGTGGAAGAGTTCTAGCTAGACGGAGCATGGAAATAAAACTTCTTACCTTTTGCTCACCTGTGATTGTTACAGAGATCCTTTTAGTTATGCGTTCGTCTATCTATCTCCGTGCTACTCGGATCATGTCTGATAGATAGATGTCTCTACCTCTGAAAAACCTCCACTAACAAGGGGAGACACCAAAGCAGCAAGTGAGAGTATGTGGGAGTTCCTGCGGACAAGCTTTATTTTGCTAATTCAGGAGAGACGAATTGGCTCGCCGGGCCTGGCAAGGTCCTCGTTGCCCGTGCCACCAGGCTAGGCTAGGCGAGGCCAGCCTGGGAACCAAACGCCAAGCTACTTCGCTTTCGGAGGCATCGTGTCTCAGGAGTGGAGCTTGGTGCATGCTAGATGAGCGCTGGTTGGGGAGGACGAGCCGTCGGCCGAACGCTGGTTGGGGATGATGATGCGTGAGCTTTTGACTGCGGAGAAGCCAACGGCGGACGAGTGCTTGGAGCGAAACCATCGCGCACTTCTAAGTAGTGTAGAAGACGAATGGAACGGTCCAAGGTGTATCTAAAAATTATTATTGTACCATTGATCTAGAATTTAGAAATGAGGGAGTAGCAACTTCTGGCGTATTTGGTATAGCCTCACCTTGCCTCGCTCAGGAAGGTTAGGCATGCCAGCACCAGTGGACGATACCGGCTTGCAGCAGGCTAGCTAGAAAGATATTGGAAAGTGCAGAAACCAAGGTAGCGAGCAAGACAACCAATGCCTTGATCTTCCTTTTCCAGACAGGCAAAGCAAGCATCGGCAAGAGAACGAACCAAACGCGCCCTTGTATGCTAGTCCGTGCAACTGCTTGCGCGGGTTGAGTACTAGTAGCTTTAACTTAGCAATAGTAATTGAGTTCACTTCTCCGTTTTTTCTGGCCTCCAGAGTGGGATTATTTGATTGAAATTTCAGCAGCCGCTTCTTCGAAGGTGCAGTTAACGGCTAAAACTCCCCATGCTGCAGCGGGCTCCATACATGATAGGCACCGGCAGCATGTTTGAAGAGAAGGGTGAGGTTCTTGGCATGTTTGAAGAGAAGGGTGAGGTTCTTGTGTGGAAATGGCAATGCCACGGCACCGCCGGCCTGCGTGGCGTTTTATTTTTATGCAGCAGCTAGGGTAGTGGATATACGAGGAAAATCATGCATGATGTTCCTTCATTATCGTCATTCACGATAGCCGGTGAATTGACCATACACTACTGGAAACTAGATTTTTTCTGTATGCCCTATAATTTCTGCCGGTTACACAAAAACTCACAGGAAAAATATAATTTATCCTATCGGTTCCGCAAACCCACACGAAAATACATATAACCCTGTCGGTTAAGATGATACGCACAGGGAAATTAGCTCATAGGATAATTACCTACAATTTCCTGTAAGTTATGTAATTTTCCTGTCATATATATGCACACAGGGTAATTTAGGATCAAAAGCGCGCCAATTTTCCAACCTATTTCGTGCTTTTGCGGGCATATGTTGGCGCCTATGCCAGGGAATGGATTTTGATAAAAAAAAACTCGTCAAACCTTATCCTTATACCCTAGCCAGCGCCCTCACGCACGGGTGCCCACCCCCACCAGACGCGCCGTCCGTCCACCTCCACCACCCAGCTCGGCCAGTGGCCCGCCCGCCTCCAGCCAGGAGCCGACGGCCTGTCCACCCGACTTGGCTGGCCACCTGTTCGCCACAAACTAGGCGCCGGCATCCCGGCCGTCCATTTCCCTCCAACCAGCCGCCGGCGCCCTTGCCGCCCGTCCGCCTCCCGCTCGGCTGACTGCCCATCCGCCTCTAGCGCCAGTCGGCGTCCGTCTCCACGCTGAAGGCCGCCGCCCGTCTGCCTGTAGCATCGCCTAGATCGACGCCCGTCCGCCCCGAGCCAGCCGCCCACCTCCACGCAGCAAGTCGCCACCATGCCGATGCCAGCCACTTGCCTGATCCAAGCCTCCATACAGGCGCATCTAAGGTTTGGCTCGGATCCACTGCACCACTTGCAATATCCTGCAGTCTTTCCTCCATCTAATGCCATGTGAATCTATAAGTAATTGCATGGCGTGAGCCCTTCCTTGAGCCCTTTCCCTTTTTTATGTGGAATGTGATGGATTGTGTGGTGGTCATCGTAGGTAGCATCTTCGATCACCGGATCCGTCACTTTCCACAAGAATCTGCTATGCCGCTGTCTTGATTGAAGAGGTCTGTTACCTTCAGTCACATTTTGCTGTGCCACACATCAGAAATTGAGAAGCACCAGAGAGGTTCACTTGTAGACTTAAATTTACTGACGTTCCTTTCATGATTGGTATTGCTAATTTTATTCATAAGCGATGTTTCTTTCACTGTTGTTTCTACAGCCAACAGCAGCAATAGAAGCACCCATAGTCATCTTCAGTTGCCCTTTTGCTTCAAGGTACAACTATTTCTTTTCGCTCTATTTAGTAATCTGCTCTCCAACTAATAGAGATGCATGGTTGTTATGTTATGTTTGCCATTGTATTCTGTTTTGCTTTGCTGTTATGTGGTTGTATCGGTTTAGATTTGTTAACTTTGGTAGGCAAATGTCTTGGTTCTAGAATGATAGGATCTCTTTGAAGTCATACAATGCAAGCTTCTTTTTTGTTTGAAACAATGTGACATAGCCAACATGCATGGTATGAATTAGTAATTATTTTTTTCATATTTGAAAACACAAAGATAATTGAAATGCCACGCACATGGATGTATAGTGGTTGGCAGTGTGGGAAAGCTCCATCTAGTGAATGGACTGAACAAACTACTGAATTCCTGGATAATGCATTCTCTTTATTAGGTGTGGTTGAGAATGTGACCATTAAGTGTCCTTGTGCCATGTATCGAAACTATTTTAAGCTGAAAAGGCATACTATTGAGCTCCACTTGTGTAAATATGGTTTTAAAGAAGGCTACGAAATTTGGACAGAGCACGGCGAGAGCCATGTTAGTATGATGATTATTGCCCAACAGCTAATAATGAGGGTTTCAATGAAGTTCATAGCCCAGCCGCTAATAATGAGGGTGATGAGGCTCTGGATGGCATTGCCCAACATGGAAGGTGAAGACATGGACGACGACATAATAGTGATGAAGCTCTAGATGGCATTGCCTGCACTGAGGACAGGGATGAGGACGAGGAAATGGATGACGATGATAACAATGCAAACGTCGGCAGCAACATTGGTGGCATGAATGATGGATCCAACAGCATGGTGAACATGGTAATATGAAGCATGGTTGGTGTTGGCACATATATCGATGGACTGCCCTTTTGTCTTTTGAACATCTAACTGTTAGCTGATTATGATTGGGTTAGGTGTTGAAATAGTATAGCTGATCATGAACAGCATCTTTTGGTAGCATGGAGAACTTGATGACTTTGGTAGTAGAATGTTATAAAGACTTGTGCTGTGAAGGCACACATATATAGCCTGGTGGATGTCCTGTGATGTTGGCTTTGGTGGAACCTTCATCTGCTAGTAATATGAATGTGATGTAGCCTATCTCATTTGAATGCTGGAATGTGGATATGAAATGCCTATTATTGCCTGGAATGAATGTATTATTTGAATCTGGAACCCATTTTCATTATTGGGCTTGTGATATTATTCTGTCGATCAAGCTCACAGTAAAATTATTAACTTGATGTCTAGTTATTTTCCCTGTGCGCTGAGACACACAGGGAATGTATTTACCTTGTCGGTTGCAAAATATATCCTTGAGGGTGTGCGCCTACAGGAAAATTATTTAACTTGTCGGCTACCAAAGATTTTTCCGAGAGGATCGCGCACAGGAAAAAAAACTATTTTCTTGTCGGTCTACTATTTTTTCTGTGCACGATAACCGACAAGGATATTGATTACCCTGTCAGTTTTTGGCGCGTGAATAAACCTGAGCACAAAGATTTCCTTGCACACGGAAATCCCGAGAGGGCAATTAATTTTGACGGCCAACCTACAGGCAAATTTATTTTCCCTGTCATTTTATCCCTGACGGTATTGGCCTGTCGGGTTGCCGACAGGATTAATTTTCCTGACGGTTTTTATTATATCCCTGTCGTGTTTCGATGCACAGGAAAATTAGTGTTTCCAGTAGTGATACTGTAAGAAACTCAGCGGAAACAACAATAGGGAAACCAGATACAGAACAGGCAAATAACCCGAATACATCAAGATGGAGGCTGAGGATCAGGTACTTTTCACAATCTATTCTTTCAATGTTCGCGACTAGTGGCTCAGCATAAATCCAGGGCTAACACGACGCATTCAGCGTTGGTAAGAAATCTTTCATCATTATGATTACAAACATGTAGGCAAAAGATAATGGTGGGCCAGTATTTATCCATTGTATTCCTCATTGGCAAATTTGTCCTCCGCATAGCAAACCGCAACCACGGGGTTCCCACCGAATTTCCTTCCATGCAATGCCATCTTTGCTTTGGCAGCACCATCAACATCTGCATATTCCAGAAACACATGCAATGGCAAGCCCATGCATCAGAAACAATTCAATACAAATGTTACAGTACAGTTTAAACCTCAAATCATAGTAAGGCTCACCTTTCCAACTCCTGCAACTGGCTGTCCACTGGGGTCAGGACGTGGGATCACAACTTTCACCAAATTTCCTGAGGAAAAGATTTTTCTTTGAGTACTGACTACTGTAACTGTACTGACTAATCATCATACCAATTGAATCTGAAACTATTGGAGTCAGAAATGGCATATTGAGAAAAGGAAAAGATGGAGAAGTTAACTCTAATTCTGCTGGAGATCAACAGTAAGTATTTGCCTGCTTCTATCCTCATGTCTTCCATAATGTCCTCATACTCTTCATCATCTTTCAATTCATCTGCACTTACCACCTGGGTGAGACAAACAACCTTTGTAGGCAGTGCTCCAACTTGATACACAAGTTTCTGTTCACAAGAGCAACTCTCAGGAACAGAACCCAAGATCGGTAAACGTACAACCTGACTGACATAACAGAACAAAACATTGCCATGGATGATAATTACATAGTTTGGTCTATACCTGTAACTGCACCTGTTGCTGTGCCTGTAATAGGATACTTTCCTGCTCTCCCTGGTTTGCTCGTTTGACAGTAAGGGTTTTGTCCCCCATCTTGATACCATTTAGAGCAGCGCAAGCAATGTCAGTGACATTGAGGTCCTGGTAAACACAGAATGCATAGCCCTTTGAGTTACCTGTTTCCCTATCCTTCACAAGATCGAATCCACATAGAGGACCGAATGATTCAAGCAACTCCCGAACTTGAGCTTCAGTGAAGTAATAGGGAAGGCCACCCACAAAAATACGATCTGGACCTTCTAACCCTCCAGCAGATCCTGCTGTTAGGCCAACTGCAGAAAGATTCAGATTGGGGCTTGGCTGGCTTGGGCCGAGTGCAGCAGCCAGAGAAGGGTTAGTCTGTTGGCCTTCTAACCTTCACTGGCGCCCCTTCAAACAAAATGCCATCCAGGGCTATTGCGTTGCTTGCTTCCTCGACAGATCTCATTTCCACAAAAGCAAATTTCTTATCATGGTTTATGTAGACATTAAGAACAGCATCGCCTGGACCAGCAGTGTTTCCTCCAATAGCAGCCATGACCTTGATTAAAGTAAACTGCCACTGTCTGCAAAAAAGAAAAACCAACTGAACCAACAGTTGCAAGTTATATGCACAAGTGATGTAAATTAACCCAACTTCTAGTATATGGACCTGTTCATTAGCAGATGGAGGAAGGCCACCAACATAAACACGCCGAGCATGACGAGTAGCCTGATAGACAAGGATGTTGGCACATTGTTTATTGAAACCTGAAGCAAATTATCAACAAGAGAACCCCATACCTGTTGAGTCATTGCTTGTGGCTGGATGACAAGGGGATTGAACTGATTCAAGAAAACGAATATGGTTACAAAGCAACAAAAGTCCAGTTCAGAGATTAAAAAGGACTTCTAAATTCCTTCAAAGTTAAAGATACAAAGATACTAAATGAAGGAACAATCACCTGTCCACCAACACCAACACCAAAAGGAAGGAGCATGTTTGGAAACATGCCAGTAAAAGAAGAGCCTGTTATGCCTACAATGTTGCAATAAATTTCAAGTAGGAGGTGTAATTAATTAGCAACTAAGGTATTGCTCCTGAAAAACTGTATAGACCTAGAAGATGGAGGCAGTGGGGCAAGTGACCAAAGAGTGCCTTCTTATACCATATACATACACAAAACAAACAAACAACAATAAGAACAGAAGCAGAAAATTTTGCTCAGTTTTCAGTTATTAGATAACGGTAAAACAAAAAGTGAACTTATTTGCACTAGAAGATGTTATCGCACATATAAGATCTCTAGTGGATGCTTAAAGGGTACAGAGAGAAAGCAATCATTTGTTCACACTTTCACTATAGGTGTATCCTTCAGGACAAGTATCTCTCCAAGCACTTTATTCAAGGCTACAATAAATAGTCCCACTTTATTATTTCCTCAAGCTATCACCTTATTCTAGGTGACCATCATTTAGCACTTTTGTATTGGAGTTAGGGGTGCAACTTAAGGTGCTTGGAGGTATGGCATCTCCAAGAAAATGTTCAGCAGACTCTACTGAAGATGCCAATTGCCAAAGATTGCAAAGTTTTATGGTGCCCAGCATTATTGGCCTCGTTTGGAACGCAGGAATTTCATAGGAATCTCACAGGATTCAGTTTAATTTAATAATTTCACAGGAAAAACGCAGGATTCGGGAAACAATCCCACATTCCAAAGGGAGTATTCACTGATGCAAAGTTCAAAAATTATTACTGGGCTGATGAAATGCTAGGAAATTGTAGTAATGGCAATTGTCATAACAACAGTATAGCAGTGTGATGGAAATGAGTGGTTGGTGAGTAACAACTAAAAATAAACTATACAAAATTGCAGAGATAAAAGTACAAATAGTTAACTGAGTTGATGAGAGCATACTTGGGGTTGGAATAACAGGAAACGTAGAAGCTGCTTATGGGGGTGGCGCATCGAACCCACTCACTCGCTTGCTGCTTCAACTCAACATAATGGGTATCAGTGAATGATGTGAAACTGAAGTATAAAATGGAAGACTGAATTTTGAATACTACATGAGATGAGTGATTATATCTAACAAAGGCATAGATGCTATCTCTTAGCTAAAGCAATTAGCCGCACTTATTGAAATATGCATTGTGCATGGCTCAAATAAATTTTGAGGCAATAAGGGGCAAAGGCAAAATACAGGAAAATTTTAAACATAATACATATAGGAAAACACATCGATTTGGCTTTTCTGCATAAGTAGTGGTATAACGGCCAAAAGGTAACTTCAAGATGGTATAAACAGGTTGTGTGTATAGACATCAATAACTGATTATACACCCATTCAGGACCTTCATTTTCTTACCTTCTTGAACGAGAACGAGATCAAGATCTGCGATCCCTGCCCCTTGATCGAGAACGATGCCTCCTGTGGCCATCTCTTTCGCGGTCTCTTCTCCTGTTAGTTATTATATATACCAGAATTAAAAATTCGATACATAATACAAGCAAACTATAAATGTGAGTCCCTCACTAACAATCTGAAACACTGTCCGGAACATAATTGAGTAAATTTTCATGAAAATCAACAAGAACCAAAATGGCCACTCTTGGAAAAAAAGCACTGTTTCTTAAGCATGATAAGGTGCATGTAAACAGAGATACCTTTCAGAATCACGGCCTCTGTGATAATCATGGTTGTTAGGACAGTCTCGGTGTTCCTTCCTATCCCGATGATGTCTGTTGTGGCGATCCCGTTCCCTCTCTCTGTCCCTGTCCCTTCCTTGATCTCTATCCCTGTGATGATCCCTGTCCCTGTCTTTTTCTCTATCCCTGGATTTTGACGACCCATCGTCAGGCGGATGAGTCTCGCCCTATAGATAAAGAGTATAGGACAACATTAGTCTAAATTTATCGACATAGAAAAAAAGATTAGCTAAAAAGAAGAGTATTTCTCTAGATGACAGAATAAATCCAGGAAAAAGGGCACAGTACACTTGCAGTAAGTCTGCATTATGAATAACCAAGAGTTTGAAAGGCATGTGGCCAGTGTTTCCAAGCACTTGAGGTTTTAGCATCCTCAAGTAGCTTCCCCAGTTGCATCAACTGGGCAGGTCAAGGCTTAAGGAAGTATAGGTTCACAATTAGAGTGTATAACAAAGTTGCACTTCCTTATTCATTTTTTTGAGTTCCGGAGTCGTTTTAACTTTTACGTGGTATGATGTTGAACAATTAATAACATCAGCACATCGCAAGCCATAAAAAAAAGGGACCCATCAAAACCAATTATTACAAATGTACCAGCAGGGTTCGAAACCCTGCTGCCTTGTCTGTAAGAAAAACAGCAAAAAGCATCATCGCTAAAAACAAATCTGGTCACACATTTAGCTAGACAGAAAGACGTGAGCAAATTTGCTCCGTGTCGGCCTTCCACCATTGCATTGTTCCACCCAGTGATTAACAGATCCACAAAAGCAAGACCAAACTAAAAAAACCTTTTATCTATGCACTAATGCAGCAACCAATTAAGCAACCTACCAGCGCTGCTGACAGCAGCCATGTCAGCAAGCGAACGGATCTGCTGCAGCGATCTGAAAGCAACCAAAGCTCAAAAAGGGGCACCCACGCCGAGTGGAGCACACATCCAGGTTGAAACCCCTAAACCACTCCAGGCTCCCTGACTAGGTCCACCATCCACCGCACCCGCATGGATGGGTCGAACGGCGTAGGATTCGGAGAGGCTCAAGGCGGCAAGTACGGACGGATCAAAACGAGGGTGGGCACCGTGGCCCCAGGAAATTTCGGCACGGAGATCGGGTTCCCAGCACAGTAAGGGCTACTTTGGCAGCCCGTTTCCCCGGGGGGATCCCCGCGTTTTCCCTGGGCTAGTCTCCCCCGTGCCAATCTCTCCTGGGCCAAATTTTTGCGCACTTTGGCAGCCCACCCATCCGAGGGTTGCAGCCCGCTTCCCTTCTTTTTCCACGCGGAAGGAATCCACGACTCGTGAGGCCGGGAGGGTTTCCCGTGGCGACCGCTCGCGAGCCGCGTAGCTTCCTCCGCTCGCGCAGGTCTTCTCGTCGCGAGGCCGTCGCCGCCCCGGCATCCCGTCGACGCCGCCCCGGCAGTCCGTCACCGCTGCCACTCCGCCTTCTCATCGCTTCGGTCACGCCAACGGTGAGACCGCCTCATCCTACATCTCTGTGCCTCCCGCTAGGGTTTTGGATTTCTTGATCCGCTCTTCTCACAGACTGTCCCACTAGGGCGGTGAGGTGGCCGCGGCTGATTAGGGTTTTGGCACCGAGCAACACGACATGGGAACCGGAAGCTGGGCGCTCTAGGGAGCAGGGTGCGAGATCTGAGGGCGCTCGTCACCTCTGTGCTTTCTGCTGTTGCTTCGGTAAGGACTCCGCATACTCCCTCTCTGGGTATTTTATTTTTGTGCATTTGTATTGCGGGATTGGTTAGTGTCAGCATGAGATGGCAGTTGCTGTGGAGGGGAGATTGTAATTGCTGTGGGGAGGAGAGATATAATATATTAGCCTAGTAGATAAATTAGCCTAGCATGGAGCTGTTGAATTATACATTGGATGTTCTTTCTTGCCTGCTGGAGCTCTTGCGACAAAATATATGTTGCTATTTAAATTGCATTCACTCCTGACTCAGAGTTACTTGAATAGATGTTCCTGAGTCCTGACCACTTTAGGTTTGTCCTAAATTAAACTTCTTTATATTTAACAAAGTTTATTGAAAAAATACACTTGCATCTATAATATTGATTTTCACCATTAATTATGTCTTGATAGTGGTGCATTTATTTGGTGCTCTAGATGTTAATATATTTTTCCTAAAAACTGAGCTAGGCAAATTTGACCCTATGGTTTGCAAAAGAGGGAGTAGCGCAATTAAACCCGCAAAGCCAACACCGTACCTAGGTTCTGAATCAGAAGGATCTGAAGGATTATTGTCTACTTTGTGCCATGGTTGTTAACTTTTACTCTCGCTGACACTGGTGTGCTGGTACTAAGTTGGAAGCGTAATTAGATCGGTTGCCAAAGTCAGCAAATTCATTACGACTCTTGGTTATGATTTTCTTTAGCACCTACTGGTGCAGCGTTTCTGCTTTTCTGATGAAGCTAGGCTCAAAACCTTGCATTGAGGTGAACATAGCTCAGTTCTCAAGTGCATACGACTCTAGCCAGTTACTGTTGGGGTACATGAACATTAACCAGGTTGCAATGTAGAACAGATGCCTTTAGCCTGGCACCATCCTGTCTAAAATATGACAGATAGTATTATCTGAAGCAGTTCGTCTCTGTATGAATGCATGATAGGTCTTGCCTACTCGGCACGAGATCTTAAGCAGAGTGTGCCTTTTTAATTTGATGGCAGCGTGGGATCTTAAGCAGAGTTTGTTTTTTAATTCTAGTGGCGTCCATACTCGTCAATCACTCAATCTAATAATTTGCGTGCTAAATCTCAGACAAGTGCTTGCTAAATCTCTCCGACTAATAAGGGCATGATGCTTTTGCAGGAGTGATTTTCTGCTGCATCTTGGGACGAGGTGACTGGTGTCAGGTTAGTCCCCCCACTGTTGCCTGCTGCATCTGTTGTTTTTTGCTCTGTGTTGGTGTACAATGATTCCTGCTGCATTAGAACTAATGAAATTTCCTGGATACTCTTCTGGATTTCTCACTAGCAGTTTTTTTTTTCCTGCTTTCTAGTCTATCTGTATGGCTGTATCTTGAAGTGTTCCTCTCACCGTATTGTTCTCTTTAGCATTTTTGAGTAATAAGTTAAAAAGATTAATGCAAGTTTTTTCATGAGATGGTATGAGAAAAATCTAAGCTTTCCTCACAATAGCTCTAGGTTGTTAGCTTATGACAGCCCCTAACTTTTATTTTAGGGCATATATGAAACTTCACTCTGAAATAATTGTATATGCTAACCATTCCTCTGAAATAATTGTATATGAAACTTCACCATCATTGTCAGTCCCTCCAGTTGAAGGTAGTGCCAGCCTCTGCTCTTGATTCTTTATCTTAGGACAAGAGCCCAAGGTGATGTGCCTCTTGCGATGACTAGTCCCAGCAATCTTTGAACCAGAGCTGTAAGCAAAGGCTTGCTTGCAGAGCTTGCAGCAAGCCCTTGTGGCCCTACCCACGACGGCTTCAATAGTGAAGTGCTCCCATACCAAGGACTTCTTTCTCCTTCGTCTGGATCCAGTAGTAGGAGGGGTTGTTACCTCAGAAACAACCAACTCATTTCCTTGAACCAAATCATCACCTTGGGAATGGTAAAATCAGAACATTGTCGAAGTGCAAAAATGGCAGGGGTTCGATTCTTGAGCATAACAGCTAACCTTATCAGGCTCCTCTCCTTTCAAGAGGATTGCATGTCTGATCCCCTATCTTGAGGGATCTTAAAAATTCACAAGGCATGACTCATATTACACTTTTCGGATGTCGTGTACATAAAATTTGTTCATAGGGATAGATAACCTTGAGCCATATGAAACTGATGACTACACAATTGTACAACAGCTTGCACTTGCCAATGCTGCATGCCATCAGTACTCTTTGTTGCTGGTATTAGGAAATGGTTTTGGTGTGGTTATCTTTCTGCACTTTGTACAAAAAAATATTCTTAGCCTGAACTGATAACTAGCTGTAAACATGGTGATAACATGCTTCTTTTACCTATATGCTCTGTATTTTGACCTTATACTGTAGGGCCTCACAAGAGTTCATTTTTTGTGTGTGTTAATTGCAGAGAGTTTGGTGGAGGCAATGCATGATTTGAGACAAGAGAAGTGTGGTCAATTTTGGTAGTGCATGTTGGACATTTCAGGCTTCTATGTATTGGATCAGTTTGGTAGTGGGTTGAATTTGGCACTTGAATTAAATTTTCTATCTATTGGACTGTCAAATAATTTTGGTCTTGTGATTTTCCATGCATTATGATCATGAAAATGATGTGGTTGGTATTGATCTTTGGTGATTTCATTATATTATTTAAGAAATTCAGATTTTTCTTGATTTTTCAAGACACTGTTTTCAATTTTGTTGCCATACTTTGGCAGAAGTACTAGTACTTTGGTAGAAGTGCTGCTGTACTTTGGCTGCAAGACAGCAAGTTCGTGTTTTCTCTGCGATAGACATCCTGTTGCCGAAGTTGTGTATTATCAGTTCAGTTCGGTTCAGTAGGCCTGTTGCCAACCAGCACGTCGGCATGTGGACGTTCAGTTGTCTAGTACTCCTGCGATAATGCTATTCTTGTTTCCCCTGTGCCATCAACCTGTTGCCAAAGGAAGACGTGGAAAGTTCCCCCACTGTGGTTACCAGCCCCGGGAAGAGGCGGGAAGAAGAAGTCCCAAAAAAATCCACGTCAGGGGTAATCATCCCTGGGCTAATTGGCCCCTGCTGCCAAAGTAAGCCTAAGGAGGGGTTAGCGGGGATCACCTTGGGGCGGAAAGCCTCCGCACAATCCTCGCCGCCACTAGGGTCGTCAGACATCTCAGGAGCCACGCTGCTCCGGCTGGATGGTTTGGGGGGCTTTCGCTGGCGTCGTCGCGAGTCGCGAGGCCGAGCTTCTTCTGTTCCTTAAATTTTTATGGACCTCTCTCTACCGGAACGCGTCGGCGACCAATTTCCTATTGGGCTTATACGGGCCTTCCTGCTTGTAGTTGCACAAAAATCTTTGCTAAAGTCAATGGTCGGTCAATCTCCGCCTGCTTGAAGGAGGTGTCTTCGGTGGTGCCGCCCGCGTGCGCTAAGGCCAATCTCGATGGAGTATTTAATTTTTTATGTTACTAAAATGTCATATCATCTATAGTGTTTTAAAATGGTGAATGAA